CCCTTTTTTCCCCCCTCCTCTGGGTTCCCGACTCTTTCTGTAGTCTTTTTACTGCTACCCCTTGGCTCTTTCTTACTGCTGTCTTTCAGCCACGCCCCTGATCTTATGGTAGGTAAGATAACACCTAGCCTTCTCGGGTAAGGGCGAAAATCCAAAATTAATTCCTACCAAACTGAAAATGTTTGATGAATCCCGCGCGTCCAAATAACCGTATGCTGTTGCCGTAAAACAATTACCAAAAGAAACAATATTCATTCATTAGAGGTTCAATCAAAATCAAAATCTATTTCCACTTAGAATAACAAATTGCACAAGTTGCAAATTATACATCTTCAAAAACATCCTCTAGAAATCACAGGAAAAAAATGACAGCGATCGATTTCGGAGAACAAAAGAGAGTATGCCCAAGCAACAGTGCAGATGTTACAAAGAGGTTATATGTAATACAAGAGCTAACAGCAGTGACGTCCCCTACTTATCCTCAACGGTATGGTCGGTGTGCCTCCATTTACATGAACAATCTAAGCCCACACCTTGCTCCGCACGAGCTCTTGTGTTTTAAACACCACCCTGCCCTATAATAATAATATTTTAGTGCGAGCTTGTAGGTTTTCTCCTAAGACCGACGAGAGAACTCCACGTGAGTCTCGAAAAGTATTCACCCGTCTGTTGAAATGAGCATGTCTTGCCCTTGAGGCTCAGCGTCCCAGAGTTGGCATACGCAGTCCCCGTTCATTTACGTTGGGACATCATGGCTACGAACTCTCGTACTAAATATAACCTCTTTGAGAGCTTAACCGTGTGAGTTAGGCCATCTTTGTCTTTGTTTACAGAGCGAGCAGTGTGATGCAATTTAAGGGTTGATGGAGCGCAGCTGGTAACGGGCCAAAATCTTCTCTTCAATCAATCTTATATACATACTACGCAGGTAGAAAACTTTTGCAACACTTTTGAGAGAGAGAGAGAGAGAGAGAGGGAGAGAGAAAGAGAGAGAGAGAGAGAGAGAGAGAGAGAGAGAGAGAGAGAGAGAGAGAGATGTATAATGTGTGAGTAAACAGAATGGAAAAAAGGTTATCAAAATATGAGAGGTGGACGGGGAGTGTTGCATTACAGTCATTACGTTGGGACATCATCTATATCCACATCATTTTCTTCCTCCTTCCATCTCTTTTATTTCTTTCCTTACACTTTGTCAAAGTACTTGTCCGCTTCAGGAAAAGCCGGTTATTATTTGGTCGTGAATAGAGAGGATCAGAACAATCACGTTTACGTAATGAACTCGAAAAATGTAGTGTTTATGAGATTTTCAGTTTCTGACTTGGTAACCGAGAAAAATCAATGTGACAGCCCGTTTGTTATCAAACACATGCGTAAATTTTGTTTTACATTGATTCTATAGGGATATCACGTCGGATTTAGAAAACAATGTAAATTGGACACTGCCCATTCCTATCAACTGTTGCTTTTGTGATCTGCAGTTCCAAAAAAATGTGCAGAATTTTAAATTCTAAAGTTGAATGTTTGTGAAAACATGCAGGAGAAAGTATGCTTTTCCCGGTATATTCGGTCTTGGTTGCCTTTCCTCACGGTTACCAGTAAAAAAAACCCAACCTAAAACGATGCCCTGGAAGTGGGTACAATAATTGTCTAGCAATTAATTGTTGAAGTCTGATGCTAACACCCCCCCCCCCCCCAACCCAACATTTCTTATCTATCTTTTCTTTCCCATATCGGGCCTAACTACATGCGTAATGGCATATTATGGTAACAAACATGTCATATTATATATACAAAAGAAACAGTGAATAATTTTCTTTTCAACTCATATACATTAACACTCTAAATCATCATAAGCCCAACATTTCACGAAGTATTGCGGTTTTCTTGAAGGTCTTGTGATCGAGGAATCTGTTGGGTAGGCGCTTCGCTGTCGCACGCAGTAGACCCGAATTCGAGTCCCCAGTGGGGAGAATTTTTATCGAGTACCACCTCGGTTTTTCTAAATGATCTAAATTGTGTCGATGTGGGCGTAAAACACCTACAATGACACTTTTAAAGGTGAATTGAAGAGAGAGAGAGAGAGAGAGAGAGAGAGAGAGAGAGAGAGAGAGAGAGAGAGAGAGGGTGG